TGTCATGATATGTAAATTAAAAATTGTTATTTTACAGTGATAATCTTGTTTTCTTGTGCCCAATAATGCATAATTTCATTTGATAAACACGTTTAGACTGAATGGTAATTTATAATCAGTCACAAGAACGTCGAATCTGAATCACTTGAAAAAAACACGGGGGTGCTTAACTTTTTTCCAGATGTATATATAAAAATGTGGCCAAACTCAAGTTTGTAGTAAGTGTGATTTTGAAATTTCAATTTGTGCTCTTATGTTATATGCTTCTACCCCTCTGAACTAGTTGTGGTCCATGTAAGCATGTTATATTAGCATCTTATGTGTTTTGTGCAGTTTGCTTCTGTACATACTGAATTAAGACAAAATAAGAAATTGTATTTCAAAAATGGGTATACATAACCTAGGTTCTGGTATGCAATTTAGATTTTCAGTCACATTAACTGATATGTAAGTGGAAACTTTCCATCCTTATGGTATATATATATATTGCGATTATTAAAGTTACCTTATTTGTTGATGATTGTAACTTAGATTTCTAGATGTCTTTGAACTTCAGGAGTTTGATATGCTTATTTGGATGTGATTATTTCTCTCATCCAGTTTTTTGAATGCATTTCAGAAAAACATGTTTTTCTCAAATAGTTTGTGCAGAGAATAGTTATACCAGAGAATGATTTTTACAAAATAGCAGTAGTAAGAGCACAGTCCAAGAAATACTCTTACATATGTTCTGTGGTGTTGGCCAATTCTAACCAGATTCAGTCTCGGTTGTATCTGTACACTTTCAACTGTTCTGCTGTTGAAAACTTACTTTTAGATTCAACTTAAGATTCTCTCTCATCAACTGTGCCCGGCATGGCCAGGTAGTTAGGGAACTCGACTCGCAATCTGAGGGTTCGAATCCCTGTACTACCAAACATGCTCGCCCTTTCAACTGTGGTAGCATTATAATGTGATGGTCGATCCCACTATTCGTTGGTAAAAGAGTAGCCCAAGAGTTGGCAGTGCGTGCTGATGACTAGCTGCCTTCCCTCTAGTCTTACACTGCTAAATTAGGTACGGCTAGTGCAGATAGCCCTCGTGTAGCTTTGCACAAAATTCAAAACAAACAAACTCTCATCAACTACTGAAGTACTTTTTTTTAGACCTTGAGTAGTTTTGCACAAATATTAAAAGACACAGAGCACTGCATACATTACTGGTGAGTTATAGGCTAAAAGAATGTTACAGGATTCTTTTGGTACAAATTTCAAGTAATCTTGATGTTTCTTTTAACTTTAGTGTATTTAATTGGCATCATCTACATCCTTAATTTGATTAAACTCCTTTCACCTCTTAGTTTTCTATTAAGTTTTAGTTTAAGCTTGGCAACTGCACATGTAATAATTTTAGTTGTTAATGATCATGTACATTTTACAATAATTTTTATTTCTCTTAAACCATTTTTGTAAATTTGATTAAAACTTAAAAATTTCACCCTTATTTTTGGGAAAAGTGACAAAATTGGTAATTGCATCATCCACCATTGGTATTCTATAACATGATATCAGTGTTAAAAAGTAATTTTAATAGAAGCATCACATATATATATAAGTAATGAAATATGAAATGCAATGGACAGTTTGATATTCAACTTTCTTGTAGCTTATATACCTTTAATATAAAAACAATTTTTTTTTAATTTTACAAATGTTCTAGTTCTGAACATAGTAAATCCAGAGAAGGACTCAGATGTAGGAAATTATAGTTCAAGATATTATGCCACTGATCATGCTTCACACTTTCAGCTCTGGGTGCATTATAAAAATGGTAGTCATTTCTGTTGTTTGGTTCAGAATCAGATAATGGCAGCAACACTGCTGTTTAACTGTGTTTCTTCTTGCCAGTAAGGTAATATTAGACACAACTTTTCCTGAATTCTAGGGTTTCTGACCTGGCCAGATTCAATTTCAGTTCACATAGAAATATCTTTAAAAAAGTGAAACTGACCAGTATTAATGGTAAAAATAAAATGTAGTGTAAGCTCTGGATTCAAGAATTCATTACTGTATACATATTCATAAATAGAAAAGGTGGCTAGAAAACTAATAATTTTGGTTTAATGTTTTTTAAAAGGCTTATGAAGAATGTTACCACTGTCGCCGATCTGGTCACTGGGCTCGTGACTGTCCAAAGCTAGAGAGAGATCGTTATTATCCTAGAAGAAACAGATCAAGATCACGATCTCGCAGGTTTGTTTTTTCTTTCTTTTCTTTTTGTTTTTTGTAATTAGTTTTTTAGCTTATATAACAAAATTGAGGTCCATATGCATTTTGTGTACAATCTTAACTTTCAGGAAATATTCTTATAACATTAAAAAATATAAAGCCACTTGATACAATTTTCTTCTAACACCCTAATGACTGCAATCTTGCGTATCAAAATGACCAGCAGTTACAACATATTTCATAGCATTTCTTGACTTCTAAGCCCTCTACAAATTCGATTCTAAAGGCTATAGCAACACATACCAGAGGTTATCTTAGCTGAACCATCTGTACAAGAACATGATCAAGATACAACAAATTCAAATATGTGATTTATAGTTGATGGTATGACTGTTGTATAAGGGCTCATGGCAGTAAGACCATTCAAGAACTCGAGGTTCTGAGCAATGCATATGTTACATTTGTAGATGAAAAATCATGTACTTGTAACTACCATATTAATTGGATTGTATTTGACAGTTACTTCATCAAGTTGTCACTGAAGAAAGCAACCTGAAAATGGTGTAGGGAGTGTTGTAATAATAATACAATATGCAACTGTATCTTTGTGCAAAAGTTTCGGCTTACAACAGTCATGTTATAGATACGATTATGCTAATTAATTCTGAATGTTTTCAATTGAAATGGACCAAGTTGTACTGCCAGATATTCTCTTAAGTTTAAATTTTAAATCCTAATTATAGCTATTATATAAATTTTTCATGTTTTAAAACTTTAAATTTAATCATTTTTCTCAATGAAAATAACAAGTTATAATTACAAAACAATAAACAAATTTGTTACACCCATTTTGTTTAAAATTTCTAAAAATGTATATTACATAGTAATCAAATTTGATGTTTCTTTTTTCTGCTTTTTCTTATGTTAAAAGTTTTATTTTTAGTATGAAAAGGACCACATTTTACTACTTTTTCGATATCTCTACTTTCTTTACTGAATTATCATTTCCAGAACAATAAAAATACATCGCACCAATCAGATAGATGATTCAATCTATTATCTTGATTAGTTAAAGTTATATGAATTGAGGAAAGTACAGGTGCTTGTATTTGTTTTACATCTAATTGCCATTCCTTCATTCGTTGTGGATGTTGTACGTACTAGAAAGGAGTCTGAAGTTTCTTTTTCCAGCAGTAGATTTTGACAGACTAATATAGACAGAAGTAATACAATAGTCCAGAGAACATAGAGCAATACTTGCAAACAAAGTACTTTAAAAAATTTCAGCTCCTTAGGCAGCATGAGCTTCTGTAAAGTTTACTACTTATGGGCCATCTGAAGTATTTGATTTCAACCAGCTATTTTAATAACTGTACTAATGAAAACATTTTGAGTAATGGCTGTCTCTTTTAGAGATGATGGTTTGAAAGAAAAGTACAAGCATCTGTTTAAACAGCTGCATAAATTAAGACTGTTGGTTTGAGAATGCTATCTCAATCAGGTGGGATTACATTTTTCTTTTTGTATTATTTAGAGGAAAAAGCTACAGTCGAAGCCGATCAAGGAGTAAGGAACGCAGATCTTACCGCAAGAGAAGCAGATCTTGTAGTCGTAGTCGTGGCAATAGTAAAAAAAATCACAGTAGAACGAGGAGCAGATCTCTCTCTGGCTCAAGGTCTCATTCAAGGTAAACCTTTTTGCACTCTTAATTTTTAAAGTATGTATTTCAATAAATCTAGGTGTTATGGATTCTGCTGAATAGATTTTAACCATATCTAAAATATCTTGCATGTTAACATAATAGTTTAATTTTAAAATCTGTAAAAATGGAAAAACTGAAAAATATTGATTTCTGGATATTTTTATATGCAAATCAATATGTATTCATTATTTTATTATACAGTATTTACAGTGTATTTTATAAATACTTGTATAGAAATTAATCTAAGGGGCATATATCTTTATGTTTACTTTCATAGATAAGTATTAAGAACAATGTGATTAGAATCTTAATACTGTACAGGATTATGCTACAGTAACAATGAATATGTCTAATCTACATATGAACAATAGAATTAAAAGAAAAACTGAAGAATTGATGTGAAATTACACTTTTCAGTATTGCGTGGCAGAGTTGCATGCATTTTCTGGATCCAAGTCTTCCTGTGATAAAGTTAGTTTTCAAATGGTAATTACACTTACAAAAATGAAGTTTAATCAAAAATATCACCCTTATCAACATAGGCCTGAGATACAAGTGCAATTTGTTTTTATACTGGTCCACTGGTAGTGTATGCTACTTTTGTGGTTACTTAGTTGCTTCAGTAGGTAAAGGTAAATAACAGATATGAATAATTCATGAAAATAAAACAAATTAAACTTAATTGGATATATAAAATGAAACTCTGATCAGTAGGTTAAAAATAAAATCAGTTTTATTTCATATTTTTTCTGTAGTTACTTTGCATGAATTAAAGAGCTTGTACAAAGATGTGAGAAAATGAGTATGCTGTCGTTAGAATAACACAGATACAATTAATGAAAAAAGCTATCAGATACATTTTCATAATTTTTAGGTACAGAGTTAAAAAAATGAAAGATGAAAGAAAGTATTTGTTTAAAGGCAGTATGACAAAACACATCTCTCTCCATTGTTTGATGGTGGTGTTTTGTTATTGAACTTGTCCAATGTTTCACAGATTTCCCTTACTTGGTTTCTGTGTATATTTCTTGTTATCCAGTACTTTTTTCCACTATTAAAAATATCAGTTATGTTAATTGTGCATACAGCTATGCATAAAATTTTAAGCATTATACCTTACATATATAGCTTATACATATGCTGTATGGGTAAGAAGAAAAAATTAATACTTCAGCTTTTGAGGACTTTATTTAAAACCAGAAAAACCCATTTGGAATTGAAAGAAATTATTATTTGCATATAAAATTTCATTTAAAAACAACTAAAAAAAAACTCCTACCCACCAGCCATAATGGTTTGGGAGGACAGAACCTGAAATGCACCAAAAAGTAAAGAAACATCCTAGACTTAGACAAACTGATTTTATCTGGCTATGAACTTTAACATATTTTTGCAGTTCATTGCATTTGTTCATTTAAACATAATCAGTTTATTTTGTTAGATTATCATGCCTTTATTTGTCACAGGATTTTCTCTGACAGAACATGATATGGATATTTAAAACTTCACCTTCGTTAAGTTTTATAGAATGGTGTGAGCCAATATTAATGATTTATGTTTAGGAACATACTTTCTCAGAAGTGAGCTGTATAATTGTGACATGTTAATGGTAAAATTCACATTGAGGTAATCTATAATAATAAAAAGAGTGTGTCTGTGTGACAACCATAGCTCCAAGAAGAAAAAACCTAGAAACCTGAACTTTTGCACACATACTAAGTGGACCCTGAGAGTGTGCAACTGGGAATTATTACTTACCCACGTGGGTGCACATTTTTTTAATTAGGCAAACTAGCAAAAAACCAATTAGAAAAGAAGTGGTTCCTTATATAACAACTTCCAATATATAGAAAAGCCAGTGAGTTTTGGTAACAGTGACTTTTATTTCATATTGCTTAGCAACAAAAGTATATAGGTTACACTTTTATGCTAAAATGGTTTTAGAATACACACACTATCAACCTAATAGTCCAAGCGAAGCCAGGTACTTTCACTAATTTTATAACATATGAAACATAAAAATTTACATCAGGTAAATACATTTTTAATGATTACTATTTACAAAATGCCTTAAAAAATGAAAATTATCTGTGTGCCACTCATGAAATATTGCTTTGGTTAAGTACAACTTTAAAAAATATATTTTGGTTTTTAATGGAACATTATAGCTTTAAATTATGACACTATAAAAAATATAATACAGATTTCAAAATTTATACACAATAATCTATGTTGCGGAGATAAAAAAAGGAGGAATTTATGACTTGGCTCAATAGACCATTACATCATTAAAAATATTAAAGGGTATTTTAGGAAGAGTATACTAAAAAATGTTTTTTTAAGAAATATAAGGTAGCACAATAATTATCTTCATTCACAGCACATAGGATTGTTTAATTTATAAAGTATTTTGTAAAGATGATATCCAAGACAAATTATTTTCTATTAACTCTTTCAGCATGGGCTCAATTCCTAGGATTAACCTCATAATCATCTTTTACTTGTTATAGTTTTCATGCTGTAACTTTTAAATTAGTAAGCATATGACAGATTATCAGTAAACATTACAATGCTTTCATATGCAAAATATAAATTTTTTTTTTATTAAGTCTTATGGTTCATTATGCAGTGTTTTTCTCATGCTTTTTTTTTTCTTTTTTATTTTTTAAAAAAAATAAGTTTAAGAACATATATATATATATATATATATATATATATAAATT